AATATTTGTAGAAAAGACAGAGGGAAGCCACGACGGAAAGTGACTAAAGTCGAGATGCAATGTCAGGACCTATAACATTACTAAGAGTTCTTTGGATTTTATCGAGACTCTTCAGACATAGCCGCTGCACTACACCAGATATGTCAGCAAATGTCAATACACGGACTTATTTAGATTTATAAACGTGCAATATGGATTCTGACGAGAAAAATTGTTTGGCACGACACAGTGAACCAACTATCTTAATAGCAGACCTAGCAACAGATTCGTTAAAATCGCTCCAGTAGAAAAATGAAAACAAGTTGGTGCAATGAATTGCTCTCGTGGAGGTTAACATCAGCCATCCTGGGGACATAATAGTTCCCTATGATTTAAAGGACGGCAGATTCGATTTGGATGCGTTAACATTTACAAGCCATTTCTTGCTCCAGTTAACAACTGATTTGTTTAATTATCGGACCAATCGGATTATAAGGAAAGAGTAAATAATTGGATCATCAGCATAAATATTTATTTAGGAACTGTTGATATCGTGAAGCCCATTGATGAAGATAAGAAGCAAAGACGGCCCAAGAATAGATCCCTGGATGACAACCGCATTAATGTTAAATGATCTAGAAACATGGATGTTCAATTCGACCTTGATTATCCGATAAAATCGTAAAGAAAGCCAATAAAAGGATAGGTATGATTAAAGGTTATTGTACGAAAGGTAAAACCCATTTAAAGTACACTTATTCATCTACTACTCAATGAGCCCAAACTACAAAAATATTAAATTATTGCAATCTGCCTAGGCCTAGAGACAGACTAAATCTAACTATCATCCCTTCAGTTATAACACTAGATCAGCGATATGTGTGAGGTACACAATATATATATATATATATAAGATGGAAGGGAACAATGTTTTCATCTCAAACAGGAGGATGCATGGTCATTCACACAAACTGAAGATAAAGCACTCAAAAACGGTTGAAAGGTCAAACTTCTTTGTTTTGATGGTGATTGACAGGTGGAATTCTTTACCTCCTGATACTGTAACCGCTATTGGCAAGAAACTGATCATACTGCTCAGATAAGCTAAAGGACTACTGACTAATTCAATTCAGTTCAACTCAATTTCCCACCGGTACCAGATTTTCGTGTTCAAGCAAAGTCAGCATAAACTCATACGTTTCAATTTGCTCCAGTGAGATTTTCTGTCATACTAAAGAAAGTAAATATCGTCCAGTTTCGTAGCAGAAATATACGCGTATATCCTATTTGTGAAAGTGGTCTGTATTCGTGCACAGGCAACACGATCTATGATCCTTCAATAACATAAATTCCCTGTCCAGTAATTGAAATATGTACGTATTTCTAAAGAATACCAGAAATTGATGTCCGAGAAAAAAACAACACAGTCTCCTCCTACTCTTTAGAATCATTTGTTTAACTTTTCTGCCATACTAAACTAAACTTTATAAAAATCGAAAGCAGTTACGTAAAATTACCTATCCAATAGTGGACATATATGTGTTTCCCATCTCTGACAGAGGTCGGTGTTTGAACACAAGCAACACTTTCTCTTAGACCTCAGTTTGCTTCATTGAGTCTATGTGCACTATTAAAGTGAGCATAGAAATATTATTAGTCATGCAATTTTGGTTGAAATATAAACTTTTCCAATCGCTTAGAGAAGTTGATTTTCGAGTATATTTCTCTTTCATTTCAATTTTCTATATTGAGCCTCTGTGCAATATTAATGTAAGGTTAGAAATGTTATTAATATAACTTTGCTTATCCCATGTTTGAAATATGTGTTTCCCATCGCTGACAGAGGTAGGTGTTCGAGCAAAGGCAACACTTTCTCATACTTCAATTTGCTATATTAAGCCCCTGTGCAATATTAAAGTCAGTTTACGAAATATCGAGACGTTATGTAATTTTGACTTTCCTATAGCGTAAAAATATGTTTCGAATTGAGGCAAAAGCGGGGATTTCGAATACTAATCATTATTTTTTGATAGTTGCCCATTGTCATTCTTTCCATCCCACTGCTTAGGCTCGTACCGTCCTAAAAGAGGAGAAATAGGAAAAAATATAAAAAGGGAAGCTAGAAACATGGTGAAAGAAAAAGAAAATGAATAATGTTTATCCATTCAACGTCCCACTCCTATCTAGCTATATTTAGTTCTTTCTTCTTCAGTGTTAGATCTCTCACTTTGCGAGGACAATGACGGATACAGCCTGCAAACGGACTGATTACAACAGCAGAGAGGCAAACGTGAGAGACTTCACGGCGACCGAACCTTTTCGAGTCGAATACAAAAAGACCAGCAGAGACACCCGGCGGCCATTTTCCTGATGCATCTTCTTTGCGATGAGAATAAAAAAACACGTCAGCATGATAAACAGCGCGCTTGTAGGTGCCGAGAAAAAGACGAAGGTGCGTATTCCGGCGACGCCTTTACGCGCCTTGCTGGCGGCTGGCGGCTTCAGTGTGTATTCCGGAGCCGGCGTCCTGTTCGACAGACGGACTTCAAGCCGAATGTCATTAACATCCACACCATTTATTTGTTTGCACATGACAGAAGTTTTAAGATTATTGTATCGATCATTATTATGAGTAATTTTTTAACCCTAGAAATCAAAAAGTAATATTATATCTACACAATAATTTATATATTAATACGTATATATATATATATATATATATATATATATATATATATATATATATATATATATATATATTAAATTAAAGAAAAGAACAGTAAAATTTATAATCCGGTTTTCTTATTAATTATTTTTATTTTAATAAACAGTGCTCAATACAATTCTGCAGAGCATAAATATTATAAATTTACTAATTTAAAAATATGATTCCATCGCTACACAGGAATTACCATGTTTCAAAAACAGAAACTTAAATCTTCAAATTTAATTATAGAATTAAAGTTCCTAGTACTGTTTCATTTTCAAGCGAATGAAATAAATTTGAAGAATTTATTTTATGTCTTTGAAACATGGCAATTTCTGCGTAGCGATGGAACCATATTTTAAAATTAGTAAATTTATAATATATTAATACATATATATGTATGGCCTGAATTACGGCCTTTTTATACTAATGTTCATGTAATACAAGGACCAAGAGTCACTTAAAGTAGAGGGTTACTGAATGTTGTTGTATAAGCGGAATAAAGAGCAAGAATTTATGTTTTTTTTTTTTTGCACGGCAGGTAACGGTTAGCCCTAGACTTGAAGCGGTCAAGATTATAATGATTGCCAGGAGTCCGCTCCACGGTTTGTAATTGGGAAGAAGCTATTCCGAGTAGAACTTACTTCTTACTATTGGAATACAAAGGGAAAAGGGAGGATTTACCATTGTATATGTGGCATGGCTGGTTACAGTTGCAAAAGTCAGGCTTGGTGGAACCAAGGAATGTAGGCCATCAGAACAATTGCCATGGAAATAGCGACAGAGCATCGAGAGTCTCGTGACGTTTCGTCTGTTCGAAAAGATTTGTAGGGTGGAAAGTGAGGATTGGACAGTTCCAGTCCAGATATGGTAGCAATACTCCATTTTTGGCCTTACCTGGGATCACAGATGCCGACAGGGAAACAGACTGAGAGGGGGGCATAGAGGGTAAAACAGAAATGAAAGGGAAATAGAGAGTCAAAAAGAGAGTGAGATCCAGAAAGCGATTGGAGTGGGATCATCATAGATAAAGGCAATTAAATCAGTGACCTAATGAAACTTTTGGAGATAAATTCGCAAGTGAAATTAAAATCTGCCCATTTTTTAAAATATTTTGTCTTCGCGAAGTTGCTTACAATTTATATATATATATATATATATATATATATATATATATATATATATATACTAGCAGTAGAGCCCGGCATTTCCCGGGGATGTAACAGTAAGAGATAGATCAAGTATCGACCACCATAAAGAGTGAAAAATAAAAGTTGACAAAGATTATTGTTTAAGGTTGACGGACACAAATGTCTTAATTAGTTTTTTTTTTTTTTTTTTTTTTTTTGTTTTAAACGAATTGGTCAAACCCAAACTCAAACAAACACATTGTTTTCGATCGTTATGAGTCTATCAATTGAATAGAATTTTATTATAAACAATTGTCTTGTGAATGGAATTTTAAAGTATTCTGAATGTGAAAATAAAGAAAAAAGTGTGCAAGACAATAAGAAACACTACCTGTCAAAAAAAGTGAAGTTTTGTTGAAATCGGTTGAAAAATGTAGGAAATCCGATCCCATATATAAACGAACACACACACACACACACAAACAAACAAACAACCTGGGTTTTATAATAAGTATAACTCGATAACTCGATATTAATAAGTATAACTCGATATGAGTTGTCCCCCTTTTCATTAATGCCTCTTAATCGTGTTTTCAAATTGATTTCATGCAAAAACAATTGTTTTTCCAATTTTTGGCACTATCAGAACCACCACATGTTAATTTTATGTACTCCTGTGAAGTTTTGTTGAAATCGGTTGAAAAATGTAGGAAATCTGATCCAATATATAAACGTACAGACACACACACACACACACAATCTGCGTTTTATAATAAGTAAGATATATAAAAGTGAACATAGAAGTCAACACTTAGAGGCGACAATCTGTTTCATGCTAGATGCAATCGTCAGGCCCAACGATTGCATATAGCATGAAACAGACTGTCGCCCCTAAGTGTTGACTTCTTATGTTCACTTTTATATTTACACACGCTCTATCTCTGATATTGAGCACTTTATCCCATAAATATAGCACACTTTAAGACTATATTTCTTCATATATATATATATATATATATATATATATATATATATATATATATTGTCGGAAAATGATATGGTTTGGCCACGTCAGATGGAATAACAGCCTCTACAAGGCCACCTTTTGCAAGGTACTATTGCAGGGGGCGCAAGGTGGGACGGAACGCGAAAGCCGGTCAGACAACATCAAAAGGTGGACGGATATGGGAGCCACAGCCAAGCGATCATCCAGGAGGGGGATGTCTCTTTCGTCTACCCTTAGGTCTTCCTGACGAATGAAGTAGTCCAGAGACTGATCATGATAATGATGATGGCGATGGAACTCTTATCTCGCCGATAATCAAATTGCAAGGAATGATATTCGCTGCACTTGCTAATTTTTAAGCTAAGACTTGCTTAGGTATAAAATTAAATCACCCTTACACCCCCCGATGGCCATACAGCGGTGTGTAGCAGACGACACTAATTCTACTTTCATAAATCCTATTCGAAAGAGTGAAGAGGTTGCTTGCCAAAATATAGATTTGTTTTGAAATCCTTTTTCGTTTGAGAATTTTTCAATCACTTCTTGGAGTTTCAAAGCTCTTTGAATTTGAGAATAAGCTCTGTGATCATAAATAATCTTTTCTTTTCTTTTTTCATATTACTCTTGATTAAGCACACCAGATTACGAATAGAAAAAGTAACTGTGAAAATTAAATAAAAGTTAATAGGGCGTTCTGTTTGCATATCCAGGGTGAATTTTTTGCTCGACAGAAAATAAAAATATCTATGCATGCCATTGTTTTATTATCTAATTATCGGGTCGAAATAATTCGGATATTCATTGGACTTTTGCGCCAACTATCAAGGCTGTAATGTCATTAGGGTGGCATTCTGTGTCTCAGCATAGTTGGTCAATATAGTTGGTCATGACTAGGTGTTCAGAATAGTAGATCACTCACGTGTTCTTGTTTTGCTTGTCAGCAGTTTCCCACAGAACACATTCTGCATTCGCATAAGATTGTAGAAATATCAGGGCTTGTTCTATAGAGCTGGGATTTAGTGGGATGTTGTCACCAAGGGGAAGTTAAACGGAAGAATTAGGAACAGAAACATTAATAATAAGCGGGAAGAGGAAAGAGTAACCAAGAAGACAGTAGATATTGATTGACATTGCATTTAAATTTTGGGGGAGTTTTAGCTGAAAGGTAGAGAGCCGGAAGGGAGTTCCACAAGCGAGAAGTGAGAGAAAAGAAACTGTTAGCATGGAATGTACGATTACATCACGCCGGCTCACCTGTAAATTGACGAGGTCGCGACGCTAGTCTAGTACTGCGTTTAAATTCAGAAAAGTTTACTCTAGTGAAGAGAAAGTATTTATCGAAGAGAAATAGAGAAGCAATCTTATGGCGGTGGAAATGTATCTAAAGCCGAGCCGCCAGATCAGGACCTATAATATTACTGATGCTTCTTTGGATTTTATCAAGGAGCTCAAGGTAAACTGTGTTATGCCCTTATTGATTTGAAACTAATATATTTTTGTAAAAATCTTGTATGCAAATTATTCAAAGGACCAATTTCGATAAGAAGGAAATGAAAGAAGCATAAATGGTGCATTTAGTCAAGTTTAGTCAGTTATGTACCATGCGTGATACACGCCTAGGCGATCATGTATCTTTCGATACGTGACTGACGAGACAGATTTTTTCCCGCAGTAGGTTGCCATTTTTTTCTGCAGTAGACCAGTTGTCATCCAAAGCTATAGAACCCGATATGTCCTGCTATTTACCCATATCTAATGGGTGTGGAGAAGAGGATTTATACCTTTCCCAATGATATTAGCACGAAAATGAATGTAATGGATTCGTGTATTAGTTAAGCGAATTTGGAGAACTAAGTCAAAAACCTTATTTGATTAGTACTTTTCTTACATTTCATTACAATTGAGTAGGACCGCAAAGTTAGTATGTTATCTGTCCACCTAGAAAACCCAAATTCGATTCTCATCCTATCATCCGGAAATTGATTTGATAATATCCGAGCCTTCCAATGAGGTTACTTAATATGATCCCAGTGTACAGCAGTACCTGAAAAGAATGTCACAGGTTGACCCAAACATTGTAAGAGAACTGTTCGGAAGTCGTTGGTTGTTGTGCTAACCAAAATCGCAACCAACCAATCGTCATAGTTCAAATACGGATTAAACCAGATTAAGCGATCTCCCCCCGCCACGTGAATGTAACAGCTCAGCACAGTGAAAGGGGGAATCATAGGGTGGCTCTCCGGAGGATGAGGAAACACAAATGTGCTTATCATGGATTGGATAGACACCCAAACAAAAGGTATATCTCAGTCTCTTCATATCTATCTATCTATCTATCTATCTATCTATCTATCTATATATATATATATATATATATATATATATATATATATATCCACATATAAGATAAAAACAAATGGTGTATAATTCTACTGTAGGTATCATTTAATTTAAAAAAAGGGTTCAATACAGAGTAGAGTTTTACCATCGCCTGAAGAGGAACAACTTAGTGTCGAAACAGGAAAGCTATTATGTAGCAATTTTTAATATTTTTTTCAATCTCCTATAATGATAATGTATATATATATATATATATATATATATATATATATATATATATGTGTGTGTGTGTGTGTGTGTGTGTGTGTGTCTATCTACCTATCTATCAATCCCTCTCAGTATGTTCAATATCCTCTCTCTCTCTTTCCTTATATATATATATATATATATATATATATATATATATATATATATATATATCCTTTATTCCTTTATATTCCAGTCGAATCCATTACATTCACTTACGTGCTAATACACTTGGGAAAGGTATGAATCCTTTCTCTCCCTCCAGCTATGGGTAAAATAGCAGGACAGACTGGGTTCTATAGCCTTGGATGGCAACTGGTCTAGGATAAGGATAACTCTGAATTCGAAACCTGCGGAGGGTCGTTTGGGAATCTTGTGGCATTCGGTGCACCAGGTCTCTGTATTCGTCCCTTCAAAAAGTGTGGATGGTCCTGCACGAGGCCTTCACCACTGTAATCAAATCTCATGTGCCGGTGTCGGGCTGTCGGTTTCCTGGAAACTGATCTGCTTGATCCTCATGCGTCTAATCTCGACGGGAGAGTCGATTATTATCCTTTACTAACTTTTGTTAGTATAAAATATACGAATAAGTCCCAAGCAAAGATTCGAGTGAAATGCCGTTGATACGTGATATAGAATGAGACAAAGGTAAAGTTAACAATGAAAAGATTGCTGAGAAAATTACCTGTAAATTAATGCACAAGCTAATTTAAAATCGTTTAAACGTTTCTATATAGAATACTGTTCCTTTTCTACCAGTCCCAAGTTTTTTTGGGGTTTTTTTTTGTTGTTGTTTAATATTAATTCCACACTGTTTAACGGCAACTGTACGCCTCCATTCTACACATCCGCATCAGTGAGTTAAAGGACTTTCAATTCACAGCTCGGATTGAAGCAATGAATGAATAAGTCTCTTACATCTTGACACAGGTAATGTCTGCTGATATAGTAAAATCTTATTTGAGCCGAACCGTAAATACTGCTCAGTTTTTTTTTTCTAATTTTCACCCAACCTTTCTACTTTCAATCTATCTATCTATCTATCTATCTCTATCTATCTATCTATCTATCTATCTATCTGTGTTTCTCTTTATTTGTCCTTCTATGTCTCCCTTTGTATTCTCATCTCTCCTTTACACTCATATGCATACAATTATATCGAATGTCGAACAGAAAATGGTGAAAGGTAAGCGACCCAGCAGAGTGGTTGATCCTAGCTACAATGAACCAGAACTAACCCCGTGTGACAGTGTTCTGATGAATGATATTTAGCGAATTCACTTGCCCTCTGAAATTCAGACAAACAATCCAATAGCTCTCCGGGGAAATCTTCCGTGTTGATCCAGTTTTTGTAATGTTACTTGAACTATACAGTTGGGGTTCTTCCCTAATTCATGACAGTCTTAACTGCAAGAGTGTGGATATCAGAGTCATGCTGATTTGCTAGCAATGATGTCACACTAGGTCACAGTGTTGGCTCTTAAAGCAGATTAATTCTGAGTTAAACCCTGGAGGTGTCCATTTGTTAGTTTTGCTAACTAGAAATGCGAATGTCCCACAGCATCGGATTGAATAGCAGAATAAAACGTGAGATGTAAGGTCTGAATAATATGAATAATTATTAGCTGTTTAATTTCTTTCCGGATCTTTTATAATTCAAATATGAACAGTAAGTATGAAATGCTTCCTGTTCATCTTTGACTCAATAGCTCCTGAGGTGTCGATTCATATGAATATAATACTATTTGCATGATCCGGGTCTTCAGCGACAGACTGAAATGTCTGAGTTTCATTTATTCTTAATTAATTTCATAGGAAATTGATTTTGGAATAGGGCAGAGGACCGTTCTACAGTGATCAATCTAACATTTGCAAACTCATTGATTTCTCTACAGTGCGATACAGTTTGCAAATTTGAGATGAGTCACTGCATCTCCAGAGATTTTTGGACAACGAGCTTCGTCAATCTATCTATCTATCTATCTATCTATCTATCTATCTATCTATCTATCTATCTATCTGGTTCTGACCGTTCTTATCTATATATCCAACTATTTAGTTCTGACTGTCCAGATCTATCTATCTATCTATCTATCTATCTATCTGGTTCTGACCGTTCTTATCTATATATCCAACTATTTAGTTCTGACTGTCCAGATCTATCTATCTATCTATCTATCTATCTATCTATCTATCTATCTATCTATCTATCTATCTTGTTCTGACCTTTCTTATCTATATATCGAACTATTTAGTTCTGACTGTCCCTGTAACTCTAGGAACATACACACAACCCATAGACCCAGTTAAAACGCAAAACTAAAATTCTCCCTGATAATGCCTAAAAGTATAACCAAAAACACTCGAGATTACAGAACATTTGGAGAGTTTCCTCACACTGTGTCCAGAAAGAAAAACACTCGTTTGAACACAAAAAATAAATGATAAGCTCAATCGCAGTACCTTGTCTGTCATCATTAATGAAACACACACACACACACACACACACACACACACACACACACACACACACACACATATATATATATATATATATATATATATATATATATATATATATATATATATATATATATATAACTTCATTAAATTTGTTTGCGAAGATGCATTCTCGCCATATAAATCATTAACTTCTATATCTGTTTTTTGTATGAATGATTCATGTAATGTAAATTGAACTGCACCTTATACTCGATAATAAAATAACTGATGCAACGTGCAACTTTCAGATAATAACTGTGACATTCCTGCATTTATTGAACAATTTAGTTCATGTCACATTGACTCAAAAACCTAGCAGTACAAAAGAATTCTTCTATTACCATATTAGTACAAAAACGCACAATCTTAATATTTAAAAATTCAGCATCACCGTTGCGACCGCTCGCTCCAAAAAAATTTCTTACAATTAACAATAACACATTTCTAAAAACATTTTTTCGGATTACATCTATGTTTTCGTTGTCCTGTTATTACCGAGAAGTAAAAAACAAAAACAAATCTATTTCCATACCTGAAAATATCTGTAGGAACAGACGAAAGCTTGTGAAAAACAAAAAAAAAGACCTTATGCAACTGGAATTTATAAACAGGGATCATATCATTCATATACAGGTTCGGAGTTAGTGTACCTTATTGAAATTGTTTGCGAAAATGTATTCTCGCCATTTAAATCATTAATGTATTCTCGCCATTTAAATCATATTCTTTTTTGTATGAATGATTCATGTAATGTAAATTGAACTGCACCACACACACACACACACACACACACACATATATATATATATATATATATATATATATATATATATATATATATATATATATATATATATATACGTGTGTGTGTGTTTATATCGATGGAGAGACAGAGAATGAGATGTGGAGAGTATTGAGTACCCTGATCTATCTATCTATCTATCTATCTATCTATCTATATATATATATATATATATATATATATATATATATATATTTATCTATCTATCTATCTATCTATCTATTCTTTATTTCTTAATTATTCAGTGAGTTATCACATCATGTGTTATTCAGATGCATTAATATTTTTCTTTTCTTAAATATTAAACCTGTAGCCTAACAAGCTTAAGAACTTGACTAAAGATTTCGATGCATTTATAGATTTCATAACTTGAAGATTTCTTTCTATAACTGACGGCGTATATCAAAGTGAACTATCTTAAGCAAGTATATGCTGGTAAGTCCAGAACCCAAATGGAAAATGTAGATGAGAAAAATGTTGACTGATCAAACCAAACAGAGAAAATCTATCATGTCAAATAAAGTGGTGCGCATGCGTAAAGTGTCCAGTTCATATTGGGTCGCGAAAAATAGCAGAAAATAATGATAGAACAATTACAGGATTTCACACCATCTAAATGATTTCCATTTGTTATTGATGAACAAATGATGCAACAATATAACCCATGAAATGTGTAGCTCATATATATATATATATATATATATATATATATATATATATATATATATATATATATATATATTAAAAGAAGAGAAAACCGCAAACATTTTTGGTTGTAATGTGGATTTTTTTTTAAAATATATTATGCTTTATTTCCCATAATTTTGCTAAACGCGTTTCCGGTCTCGCGACCTTCATCAGGCACAGCGTGGAAATTTCTACATATTATTAAGAATAATTAATTTTTTTCTTATGCTTTTCGATGTTAAATATTCTCGATATGAGACATTCTCTTTTTGTGTGTTAGTGACCCAAATGTTTTCCTGAATTGGCAGTGAAAAATTATGCGGGAAGCTTATAAAACAATTAAGATAGTTCCGAGAAATGGTGAAGGAGTTATCGACATTCTTAACTTTTAATGGTCCCTGTGTGTTATTAGATCTTTTTCCATTGTTTTATGTTTTTGTCAGCATGCTCATGTATACGAATATTCCCTCTTCATACATACACACTGTCTTATCACGAGGAATTAGTAAACACATTTGTACACATACACACATATACACACATACATATACACACACGCACACACACACACACTTCCTATGTTGTGTAGTGTTCACTTGTGTGCCCTTTGTTTTTGCCAATATATATATATATATATATATATATATATATATATCAGCATGCGCATGTATACGCGCACTTCTTCTCTACATACACATACTGTCCTATTACAACGAATCAGTATACACACACATGCATACATACATATATACGTACATATACATATAATTTCTAAGTTACAAGGAATCAGTATATATATATATATACACACACATATATCATACATACATTTATACGTACATACACATACATATACTTCCTAAATTGTGTGGGGATTGCGCCTATGACCGTGAGTAGTCCTCCGCTTTTGTCAATATGTATATATATATATTCGTGTTCCACAGACACCCGCATGTCAGTGTGTGTGCATGCATGCGTGTGTGTGTGTATGCATGCGAGTGGTTTGGTCACTGTGTTTGGCCATTATGTGTGCATGTTGTGTGTTTTTGCGTGTGGGGTTATGATCTATTTAGTTTTGGTTTATATTTGTTTATGTAGTTTTTTTTTCTTGTATTTGTAGGTAAGAATAATTGTCTGTTTGATATATTGGCATAATTTTAAATTTAACCTGGTTACATTTAAAGATGTGTTGTGATACAAAAAGTTTTCTGTTGTCTGGTAATTTTATGTTGCTTTTGTGTAGGGAGACACTGTTGTTTAGTTGTTAGCTGATACCTATATATGACTTCTTGCATTTTGGGCATTTGAGTGCATAAATCACATTTTTGGAGTTGTAGTTTAAATTTTTATTTATTATGAATGTCGTTTTGGGGTTTTTCAAAACTATAGGAGTTTCCTTGTATAATAATTTCACAAACCCACATCTTTTTTATTGCATTTTGTGACTCCCTGTATTGTGTGTTAAATTTGGATAATCCCAATGATGGGATTTGTGACATCATTATAGAAGGTAACCCCTACCCTTTTGAAAACTCCAAAATGACATTCATAATTTAATCGCTTTTTTTTATTGGTGTTGAATTGATTTTTCTTCTTTGTGTGTATGTGTGTGTGCGTGTGTATATGCGTTTATGCGTGCATATACACGCCTGTACGTGTCAGTATGCATACCTATTCAGGATACAAAATCCAGAGACGGATATGCAATGTGATAGGTCCTGATCTGGCATTTAGTCTACAGTCGCTTTCTCAAACGTGCCGAGGCTTCTCTCTCTTCTATAAGCATTTTCCCGGCAACTGTTCCGACGAGCTACTTTCGCTGGTTTCCAGATTGCATGAATTTAAGCGACTTATTAGGTTAACATCTCGATCCCACCCTTTCATTGTTGAAAAGGTTAAATGCAAGCGTCTCTTCTACTCAAACAGCTTCTTCTCTCGCACTTCCCATCTGTGGTATTCTCTTCCCCTTACTTGCTTCCCTGATGACTATAATCTTCAAATATTCCAGTGTAATGCCAATCGACATCTTCTGTTACCTTGATTTTGTTCACCCTCCTTCTCTTTATCCTCTCTCCAAAGACGTCTCTTTATTCTTGTTCTCTACCCTCTGTAATCCCTTGCGTGCTAGTAGCATTGCCGCCTTGGTTGGGGTGAAATGCTTAAAAAAATTTTCGTAGTTATTTCTTCTTTTCATAATTTTCTTGTCTCCTTATACGCTGACATTATTCCTTTTCTTTATCTTTCGGCTCTGAATATCATAAGATAATGTAACAATGTTATATCCGGTGTGAGAGACGACTTATACGACGGAATATTCTGGGGTTTTCTAAATTTTATGAAAACATAGGTGTATTCCATTTTTTTTTTAAATTTCTTGTTTACATGATTGACTTCTTTTTAAAAACTCATGCTTAAATGAGTTATATATATATATATAATATGTGAAAATATATAGAAAATAGGAAGGAACTGGTTAGGTAAATAATCCAAAGTCCCTTAGTATTTTAGTTATTATTTTTAAAAAATAGTGCTCGATACAAAAGTAGAGCATAAATATAATTATTTATTTATTTGGAATCATGTTTTTAAATAAATAATTATATTATATATATATATATATATATATATATATATATATATATATATATATGTATGCATATGCTGAGCGTAACAGAAACATTGTCTAATTGTTTGATTACGTTTTGAAGTGTTGTATCTTAGAAATGGTTTAAGATATCTTACTGGAATTCTTTGAAGTTTAATGACAATATTGGACTCTACTTTGAACAATAAGAATGTATTTAGCTTTAAGTTGAAATGATCGTCCTTCTTCCTATTGTGACCTCCTGATCCAGATTTCCTCTCTACTGCTCCGTCTTTTTTAAACTTATTCACGGTTCTCTTGATTCTTGAATGGACTTTGAAGATGGAAGCCAGTGTATGAATGTTGGTATCATTACTAGAGGCCTGAATGCTATTTTTCGTTTCATTATTGCTCATTTGGGAAGACATAGTGGAGCTGACGCAAGATGATTTTAACCTGTTCTCTTTCTATCTGAATAACTCAAAAAGATTTTCAGTGATTCTTATGACATATATTTTCAAGATGGCTAAATGTCTTATCTGAAAACCTGGAAAAAAACAAACTCAGTTTGTTTAATGGTGCTTTAGATATTTAACATTTTGTGGAATGGACAATTATCCCACGGCTTGGACAATTTTTCTGTTACAACCGATATATATATATATATATATATATATATATATATATATATAATATAAATTAATTGATTTAAAAATTTATTTTCGCTACATAGTTTTAAACATGTTTTCAAAATTTTAAAACAAAAAAATTAAAATTGTAGTTCTATTTCATAAAATTAAAACAATTTTTAATTTAAATTGTTTTAAATATTGAAGCTAAATAAAAAATTAATGTTATTAATATTCTACAAATTGAACACAGTATTAAATAAATGAATATTTGTAATCAGTTAATAAATAAATACATTTTAAATAAATAAATAAAGTTTACTAAATCTGAAAAATGACTTCGCTTGTTTTGTAGTAAGTGCCAATAAAATTAAAAAAATAATATTTAAATTTAAAGAGAAGAAAAGGAAAAAAAAAAAAAAAAAAAAAAAATTTATATATACTTTTTTATATGGAAAAAAATCTTACTTAATATGAGTAATTTTCCTTCTGTTATAAAGTAATATAGTCTATTAAACTAAACAATGAAAATATTTTAAAAAGTTTAAAGTTGTAATTTTGAATTTGTAATTAAAATTGTAGTTAAATTGAATGAATTCTAACCTAAATTTCTTTTAAATAATACTACACGCATTAAAAAAAAGAATCCAAAAATAATACCTATAGTAAAATAAAATTAATATGAATACCATAACATGTAAGCTTTTTGAATGACCCATGTCCTCAGTATTTTTACATGTGAAATATTATAATAATAGGTTTATATATAAAAGAAAAGTTTACTGAATCAGTGAAATTAAAATTACCATTTTTGCTGTCATAGTCATATACAAAAAAAAAAAAAAAAAAAATGTAACCTCATATACATACTTAAACTTAATGTTAAAATAATCCTACAAAATATAATGGATTCTAATACATTTAACTGTTCTTAAAAAGAATATAGTAAAATAAAAATTAAAAAGGAAAAATATTTCAAATCGTAGTTAAATAAAAAAGTATTGTAAAAAAAAAAAAATCTTTAATTTTAAAAGATGACGTTGAAAAATTTTACCGTTAACAATTTTTTTTTTTTTTTTTAAAATTCAGACGACATCCATTCAAACGACGTAAGGTTTCAGTGTAAAATACATCCTCACCCCTTACCAAAATGTAGCTAATAACTGATACAATGATACTGTCATAAGGAAAATCTAGACACCCGTGTTCAATTTGAGTAGAATATTCTGTAACCATGGAAACGTGATTTTAGCTGTGTATTTAAAAACCGGTAAATTTTAAAAGTTACTCCAAAATTCGCTTGAAGATGAAATAGAACTAATGCTTTTAATTTATTTGCAAAAATAAAATTAGGGTTTTAGCTTCTATTTTGAAACATGGTTGGAACTGTGTAGCGAAAATAACCATATTTTAAATCAATTAATTTATAATATTAATGCTCTGTAAATTTACATTGAGCACTATTTTGTAAAAATAAAATATCTATAAGAACACCGGATTTTATATCTTACTGTTCTTTCTTTTTTTATTTATTACATATATATATATATATATATATATATATATATATATATATATGTGTGTGTATGTATGTATGTATGTATCGTTGAAGAATATCGACATGTATTGTCTATCCAATGTTTTATTGTTAACTTTTTTCAGTTTTCTAAATTAGTTGTTGTATGTACGGTAAATTTACCGAAGTTCATATTTTTCCCCGAGTTCTTTTGAATTTTGCTACAATCGTATTCAACGAATGTCTTTTGTTTATGTAACTATTTTTGTTTTTTTGTTTGTTTGTTTTTTGGGGGCGTGGGAACGCCAGAATTATCTAAACACAGTTACATAAACTTACACAAAACAAAATCCTTGAAATTGAATGTCACAACATTCGAAAGTACTCTGGAAAAACATAAATAAATATGAACACCAGTAAACTTACTAATTCGGAAATTTGAAAAATTTAATAAAAGATTGGATAGGCAGAACCTGTCGATATTCTGGAACTTTCCGCTTGTGGAACTCTCTTCCGGCCTCTTGCGTCCCAGTCAACTCGATCCTCAAAAATTTAAACGCAATGCCAATCGTTATATCCTGTCTCTTTAATTCTTATTCTTTTATTGTTCTCTCCCCTTAATAATAATTTCTCATATTATCTCATACTCAATAAATGCATTCGTCTTAGTGGCATTATTGCCTTACTTGGGCTGAAAAGATTAATCAAAAAATTTAACTTTCAGTTCTTAGGTCTTGGTCTCTTTTACCCATTTATTGCTTTCTTTTGCCATTACCCTGTTCGTCTCCTGCTGTCATTACATGGAAGATTTTCAAGATTCAGTTTTCTTTGTTTACTACAATCGGATCGACTTTTATTATCTGAGGACAAATGAAAAAAAGAAGATTTCTCCGCTATTAACTGAATAATTTCCTTTCGTTTACAAAACAAAAGAAAAAAATGAAAAATTCCGTTTTTTTTTTCACTTCTGACATGTGCAACTCTTGAATACCCAGTGTTCTAGCATTTTCAGTCATATCGCACTTTTTATGTTTATCTTATCCAGCTACATATTAATGATTTAAATAAAACAGTTGCTTTTTATAAACAGACTAAAATCATTCACTTGTTTATTGTATGGACATGTGTAAATACTCATACACTTTTTGTGAGTATAAACACATTGTCATACGTTCATATATATATATATATATATATATATATATATATATATATATATATATATATATATATATGTGTGTGTGTGTGTGTGTGTGTGTGTGTGTGTGTGTTATCGGGTCTCTGCTTTATGACCGACACAAAAGGTTATCAGAGATCAATTCTGATATCATCATGAAAAAGAAAACAAAAGAATATTTACTCTTGAAATCTCTTCGCTGCAAAGTGTCTTTTTTTATATATAAAGAGACGGTGACGTCATTATTTTCATTTGCTTATCTTTTCCCAGTTGGGTTATTGGCCTCGCATCAAATATATATATTTTTGTTTTTGTTTTTGCTTTTGCTTATCTTTATTCGTTGTATGTGGAGATAGCGAAATGGTAAGTTGCTTGGAAAATGTAACAATGGCGAGCCGGGTTCGAATTCCAGTCTAGTTCTTTGCATTCGCTTAAATTCTGAACTCATATTGACCTTGAATCCAAATGTCTTCAGTGAAAAATGTAAGAGGGGAGTGTATCGATCTGTTTATATCTATCCATCTCTCAGAATATTATCGTTGCTTTCGTCCATTTTTTCTTTCCTTCTTTTTTTTTTTTGTTATTTCTTTCCTCCTTGCTTTCACCCGTCTCCTTGTTTCTTTATTTCGTCTTTCTTTTTTTTCTTCTATATTTTCTTTCCTTGCGTTTTTCACCTCTTTCCTTGGTTCTTTCTTCACTTTTCCTCCTTTTTTTTCTTCCTTCTTTCTTTTATTTTCCTTTTTCTTCTGTTTTTCATTTCTCTTTTTCTTTCGGTCCTTATTCTATTTCCTTATTCTTTTTTTTTCCTTCCTTTAATTTTTATAATTCATCATCGAATTTACATTCGTTTTCTTATACCCTCCTTCCTTTTACGCCATCTCTCTATTTTCATCTGTCTGTGACTTTCACTATCTCCTTCTCCCTCTCTTTCTATCTATCTATCTATCTATCTATCTATCTATCTATCTACTTGGCTTTTCCCGTTTTGATTTGTTTCAATTCCTTCTTTTTTTTTTTTCTTTTTTTACATTTCACATTCCAAACAAGGCTATATTGCCACTAAGACACAAGGGGTTATTGAGAGTGAAAGAAAATAAAAAAAAAACCTCTTGAGGAGAAAGGAAAATAAAAGAAAATATTTCTTTTTTTAGTTCACATTATATTTCTCTTATTTGTATTTTCTTAACATCACCCTAGAACGGATTTCGCTGATGGATTCCACTTTTCATATGCGCTGACTTTACTCAGGTTTGAACCAATACAATTTCATATTAGTATTTACTAAATTGGCACAAAATCACAACTATGACATTCTTTATAAAGTATTAACGATACTTGTGACCAACTCCGTCAATATTTCTCCATTTTCTACATTGCAGACTGTTTCCCGCGGATGCAAAGTTGCAAGACTCTCGCTATTTTGATGGTAGATGTTTAAAAGATCTGCATATTTTATTTGCACCAGCCCAGAACTTAGGCAGTTTTCTTTTCACAAGAATTTTTATATTTAATCATTTCAACTCAAGCAAGGCAATAAAGCCACTAAGACGGAAAGGTTACTAAGTGTGAAAGACGTAAAGGGTTACTACGTGTGAAAGAATAAAATAAAAAGTAAAACGTTATTAAGTGGAGAGAAAACTGTTAGCATATAACTTACGAGTACATCTAGCTATTTCAACCGTAAATTGATACGATCTTGCCGCCAATCGAGTACTGCGCTTAAATTCATAAAGTCTAGGCACCGTAAGGGAAAGTTCATCGTAACAATTTCCATGAAATTATTTCAAGAAAAAGGCACTGGGATTCGAAATTACAGCGGTGGGAAAGTGACTGAAGGCGGGATGCCAGGTCGGGACTAATAAAATTGCAAATATTTCTTTGGATTTTATCAAGAATATCTAAATATATGGCAGGAACACCAAGCTAAATGTGACAATTGTATTCAAAGCAAAAACGAATGGTAGGCTTATATATATATGTAACATAGATTTTTGCGTGGAACAATTGTCTAGCACGACACAGTGAACCAAATTTCCTAGCAATTGATTCAATACAATGTTTCCACTTCATGCCGACGGAAAACGTTTGCCTGGGAAGGCGCAATGATTCACTCTCCAAGATCTTGTCTTGTGGAACTATCTTGTCTGGCTCCCTAGGTTTAACTAGGTCTGCTCTACTCATTGTATTGAGCACTTTATTTAGTTTTTGGGGGTACTCGCATCGGGTTTTTTTTCTTTGGGCCTTGAACTAGTATGCTGGACGATTATTTTCGGTTAACGTACATGTTCTTGGTTCTTTCTTTTTTTATACCTTTTTTTCCCTTTGGTATTGGCTTGTTTATTTGCTAATCAAGCACCGAAGGTTTTCCGAGCGAGTATAGTTTCTATACTTATAAGATTTCTATTAAGAATAAGTATATATATATATATATATATATATATATATATATATATATATATATATATATATATATATATATATATATATATAGGAAAGAAGTTAAGATTTGAATTTGACCAGAAAAATAGTATTATTAAAAAGTGCTCAATACACATATAAAAAGATAAACATTTAATATGTATAGCTTTTAAATTATACAAAATCAGATCAACCGATTCTGCTAGGTTAGTTTCAAACTTTTCGTATCTTTAAGCGACTTCGTTCAATTGATTTCCTAACGCTTTACTTTACAAAAATAAAAATTTTTGAACGCTATATATTTTTAGTTCATTTAAAGTGTGATAAAAAGTACGTATGCATATTTCATTTAATTACCCACCGATATATTTCTAATACACTTGATTTTCCCCCTTCTACTTCTCACCTTCTACCACACCTCACGTCGTTGTGCTTATTCTCATTTTTGTTTTTGATATAGCGTTCATAAATTTTTATTCTTAAAAATATCAAGCATTAGGATATCAATTGACCGAAATCGTCTGAAGATGTCGAAAAGTTGAAACCATGATAGCAGAATCGGCTGATTTCAAATTGTGTTTGTGTATATATATATATATATATATATATATATATATATATATATATATATATATATTAGTGGTATATATATATATATATATATATATATATATATATATATATATATATATATATATATATAGATATTATATATATATATATATATATATATATATATATATATATATATATATATATATTCATGAATTATTCACACAAAACAAATGCAAAGTTTAATGATTTAATTAGCGAGAAATCCATCGTCGCAAACAATTCAAATAATATACAAAAACCTCCGAACCTGTTATGAATAAAAAGATCCTTGTTTCTATAAATTTCTGCTGCATTAGTTCTTATTTTTACTACAAGCTTTCGTCTGTTCCTACAGACATCTTCAGGTATGAAATAGATGTTGTTCTTGTTTTTTCTCTCAGTAATAAGAGGACAACGAAAATATATGTATTGTTGTATCCGAAAATGCTATTGGAAATGAGTTATTGTTTTTGGAGCGTGCAGTAGCAACGCTGAGTTTGATTTTAAATTTTTACAGTTGTGCGTTCTTGTACAAATATGGTGATAAGCGAATTTTTTACTGGTAAATTTTAAATTAGTTCTTATTTTTACTACAAGCTTTCGTCTGTCCCTACAGACATCTTCAGGTATGGAATAGAAAGCTGGTTTTTGTATATTATTTGAATTGTTTACGACGATGGATTTCTCGCCAATTAAATCATTAACCTTTGCATTTGTTTTTGTGTGAATAATTCATGAATTTGTAAATTGATTGCACGTTTATCAAAATTATATATATATATATATATAGAGAGAGAGAGACCACTATTATATATATATATATATATATATATATATAGCTTCTGCTTTTAAAAATGCATTATAAATATTGTCTTTCCCTATCTAATATATATATATATATATATATATATATATATATATATATATATATATATATATATATATATGAATTCCCAAGAGGATAGAATCCAGGTAGATCTCAATGTCCAGGACAGAGTAGGCTTAAACACTAATATTCCATGGTTATAATTTATTATATTGGAATCGTAATCACGATCCAATTCATCAGACCTACAAATTCAAAAAGAAATCGAAAAAAATAACTCCGGGTATAAAATACAAAATTTTAGTGAGAGTGTATTTGTGGGAGTGGGAAACAAGTGTGAGAGGGAAAAATATGAAATCTCTAGAGAGAGGTGTAACAGAAGAAAGAAGAACAGGATGGCCTAAAGGTGAAGGTCGTGTTTAAATTTAACAGAAAGAAATTTTAAAGAGAGGAGTTAAATAACGAGTGAGATACAGATATATCTGAATTATTTTCAGATACATAAAGCACTACCGATTCGCTGACCTAAAGTTAAAATTAAAAAACCGACATCGGAAACGTGTGGATACATTTGTGGTGACACTACGCACAATAAAAGACAACATGATCTAAACTTAAAATCCAGCCATACTGCCGATGTATATATGAAAATTTTCCGTAGGCTTTGAATTACTTACCTTATGAATACAAGAAAAGAGAAGATGAGTGTGAGGAAAAATGTGGGTGGGGCGTAAACTAAAAACGAGGACATTCATAACAGAAATGATATGTAATCAAGAATAATTAGACAAAGCAAGTAATATCACCTACAAGTTACAAATTTAACATAAAAATATAAAAATATTTAAGAATATTTAATCTATTAATGACCTAATATTTATATGCTCCAAAAACACATACGTATATACAGATATACACAACAACATATCTATACATACTCGCACATACATACATATACGTGTGTACCTATATATATATATATATATATATATATATATATATACACATACACTCATGCATACATATACACACACACACATATACATATAGACATACACATATGTGCACAGAAACACATATACAAAAACCTTACACACATCCATACATATACATAAACACACACACACATATATATATATATATATATATATATATATATATATATATATATATATAAAATTAAAATTAAAAATAAAAACTAAAAAACCCACATCCATCCATATATACATTTAACATATAAAAATAGATGGGTAGAATTAAGTTAATTTGTACTTAAAAAAAACTACTGAGGAAGAAAACGTTGACAATATTTAAAAAAAAAGACACGGAGTGATTAACGCGTATATATCTATTAAGTCTACATATATACCTCGGTATATAAAATACCAGAAAAATATCAGATTTTGTATATCACTTATCTAGGAAAGCTTTTTACCTACATACCCACATACACATATACCAACACATGAATAAAGTCTGCTAACACAAATGATCAAAAATATATAGAGCACAACATAAACACAGGCAATGATATACATAGGTAATAAGAAGAGTCATTTAATTTAAATGTCATGTCCTATGTTAGTGATCCAAGATTGAAATGTTATAGGTAACAAAACGTTATAAAACCGTGTTTATGTTTTAAAGCGTTTTTATGTCTACATTTAGAAATGATCTCACTACGAAGATTCAGCAACTCTTCTGGATTTTTATCTTTAATTATAAATTTTTTTTCCGCAATGCATAGCTCACACCGATCACGGAAGAGGTTCTCCCTCTTGATAAGAATCTCCATTTAAAATGCTCGGTTAGTCCACTAAATCCCAGTAGTGTTTAGATAAGGAAGCTTGATTTTTTTATGTATCGATATTTAAAAGAGCGTCTGTGGTTGTACAGGCGCCGCGTCCAATTACCGGCGTATATACTTATGTGTCTGTTTTCAGGCTGATATTTTCTTCGGAGAATATTGTAGCTTCATATATTACATTTTCATACATACATTTTCCCCTGATCGGACAATTGTCTCTACTCCTACAATTGCAGATGGGGCTATTAGATTGAGTTTCACTATTATGATAGTTCTTAAGTATTTTACAATTGTTAGAAGATTTAATTTTCTCCATATTACTTACACATGAATAACTAATTTTCAGTGTCTTCCTATGAAAGTGCTTTTCTATTAACCCCAGGAAAAAACTTTCTATATCAATGTTAGAAAGCCTGCTATACAGTGGGTTAAATCATATTACTTTCCCCTTTCTATTTTTAGATCTATTATTACTATGATTTTCTAGTTCTTTGTTATAGTTTAATTCCTTTTTAAAACCACTATTTTCATTAAAGATTTCCTGGCTAGAAAAAAGCCTATTTATTTACAGATTTGGGGATGCGATCTCATAT